TGGCCAGTCTGCAATCCCTTCTCCTCCATTCTTCTCTTGGGATCTTGAGCACGCACGCACACATGCCCGGCGTGAGTTTAAGCCACCGGGTCCGGGACTCGAACAGTAGTCGACTACATGGGAATCCAGCGACATAGCCATTACACTAACTGCTGGTCCCCCTCCTTGTATTTCTCATTTAAAGAAAAAAATATTCTTCAGAGAGAATGAAACATCAGGTAAGCAGGGAGTTACTTGTGGTGGAGGTTAGTTATGAGTTTTTGCCACAGATAATTGTGATGGATGAAAGCACATAATCCATTCCCAAATAATAACTTTTTCATCTTGCAATAGGAGCAGATCTTCAGAACTTTATATAGATTTGACTAGCCATGTTTACCTTATCTGCTATAAAGAATGAATTAATGACTTATATTTTATATTTCAACATCCAACGCTCAGAAATATTTTATATTTTGTTTTTATGTTCAGTAAGAAAAATAGAATATTAAAGAGCAGGTATTGTGCTGAGCAAGAATTTTAGTTTTAGTTTTCTTTTCTTTCTTTTTTCTTCCAATTTTACCAAAGGGTGCATGTGCTCTTCAGAGAGAGGGAGAGGGAGAAGGTGCCCTCAATTGGTAATGGTCACACTGCAATGTCTTCTACATTTTCTCTATTCTGACAGGATGTTGGGAATGCACACATAGGCCTAGCATGTCTCTCAAGTCATTGGATATGGAACTCAAACTGTGGAGTCAGCCATCTGGGATTTGGCTATCTGAACCAATAGGCCACAGAGCTAGTCCATCAGTGGTTTTTTAAAAATGTTTTTTCTTGGGACCAGCAGTTAGTGTAATGGCTATGTCACTAGACTCCCATGTAGTCGACTGTGGTACATGTCCCAGACCCGGTGGCTTAAACTCACACCAGGCGCGTGTGCGTGCGTGCCCATGATCGTGAGAAGAGAATGGAGGAGAAGGGATTGCGGTGTGGCCATCCCCCTGGGGGGTGATTTCTTGCTTTATGCCTCTCTGTCTCTCTCTGTCTGTCTGGCGAGCACACACGCCCTATAGCAAAACCTCTCCAAAACAAAATGTTTTTTCTTGGGGCTAGCAGGTGGCATGGTAGTTAAGGGTGCTGGACTCCCCCATGGCCGACAACAGTTAGATTCCTGGACCTGGCGACTTGATTTCTCACTTTCTCTCTTTCTCTGTCTCTCTCTGGTCAAAGTAAAATAAGTAAATAAATAAAACAAATACTATAAATAAATAAAATAGTTCTTTTAAAAATGTTTTTTCTTTATTCATGATACAGTATGTTTGTATGGATAAAAGACAGAGAGAAATATCAGAGAGAAAGAGAGAGAGAGAGGAGCAGCCCCCACAGTCTGGTCACACTGTGATCCCTTTCCTCTTGTTCACCAGCCGTTTTGATGCTAGGCATTTGTGAATATGCTTGGTGTGTGTCAGCTTGACCGAGTGCTGGATTCAAACTACAGCTGCAATGTGGGATCTGACTTTGCTCAGATAGCACACTACTGCTGCTCCACGGAGCACACCTGAGAGTTTCAGTGTTTAATGACTTCGGCTGTTTCTTAAGTTTTTTACAGGCTGGTGGATAATGATTGATGCGGCTGTGGTGTATCCCAAACCAGAGCAGTTGAACCATGCCTTTCATACATGTGGTGTATTTTCCACATTAGCTTTCTTTATGTAAGTATGAAGGTGAATCTCAACTCTAGATTATTTCTCTAAAAATATTTTACCTTAATATTCAGTGTTTTCTTGAATTTCTTGAATATCTGTTTAAGTGATGGATTCTTCTTTATGTGATATGTATGTTCCCGTTTTAAAATTATTAACTTTTTAATCAAGAATGAGTATAAAATTCAGTGAAATATCTTTGTAGCATTTATAAAGATTATTGTGATTTCACTCTTTCTGTTTATTAAACTGGTCAGTTACTGTGTCTCGTTAGTCTATAGATAATACTTTTTAACAGTGGATGCATCTTACAGTCATTGTTGTCTTAGAATTATAATAATATTTTTTTCTTTTTGGGTGATTTTAAGAAATAATAATATATCTTAAACCCAGTGGCATTTTACATTATAGAACTTTTTAGTAGTGAGTCATCCCTGAGTGTTATAATGTACTCACATCTTACCATGGAAATATAATTCTTTTTTAAATGTGCTCTTTCACTGTTTTTTGCCAATATTGGGGAGGGTAAGGGAGCATAGTTGGCCTCCCAAGAGTGTGTATGTATGCAAACTTGCCTGGTGTGTTTCTCAAGCCACTGGGTCTGGGACTGGAACTGTGTATCTGACCATGTGAGATCAAGCTACCTTAACCTCTCCACCACTAGCTGGCCCTTTTCTTTTTTATTAAATCATTTTCGGGTTTAGCAATTATCTCACTTCATAAAATAGTTTGGAAACTTCATGGTTGTCTTTTTAAAAAAAGAAAATATTAAACATTAAGATTACATAATTCTGGGGCCGGCATGTGGCGTGGTGGTTAAGGTGCTGGATTCCCACATGGCCAATCATGGTTCGAGTACTGGACCTGGTAGCTTGCTTTCTCACTTTCTCCTCTCTCCCCCTCCCTCCCTCCCTCCCTCTCTGATCAAAAATGTAAAAATAAATAAAGTTAAATAAAATAATTTAAAAAAAGACTACATAATTTCATCAAAAATTTGAAGCAAGGTTTGGGCTGCTAAAAAAAGGCAATTCCTACTTCTTATTAATATACCTTGGTCTAGCAAAAATGGAAGGAAGCTGACTCAAGTGGGCCTATGTATTATTACATAGACTCAGTTTTCTCTGTTTTTTTTTTTTTTTTGGAGACGTTTTCGCTATAGGGTGCAT